TAAAGGCTTTGCCATGCGGCTCTCCCCTATCGCTCACCGGACCCTCAGTCCGTTCCAATCTGCTTTCGTTAAGGGTCATTTCATCCTGGACGACATTCTGTGTCTCCACGAGATAGTTCATGATATACGTGCCAGTGGGACTAAAGCGGTGATCTTTAAACTGGACTTTGAGAAGGCTTATGATTCTGTTAGTTGGGACTTCCTACTTTAGGTGCTTTTGGGCAAAGGTTTTGATGGGTCCGTGGTTCACAGACTTATGCAGTTGGTCACGGGAGGCCATACCGCGGTTTCGGTCAACGGAACCATTAGCAATTTCTTCGCCAACGGTAGGGGCTTGAGGCAGGGCGACCCGGCCTCCCCTTTCCTTTTCAATTTAGTCGCCGACTCCTTATCCCATATCCTGTCACGGGCGGTGACAGTTGGGCATATCACTCCTGTTTGTTCCCACCTCCTTCCTGGTGGTATTTCGCACCTACAATATGCGAACGACACAATCATCATGGTTGAGCTTAATTATGGTTGCCTGGCCCACCTAAAGTTCATCCTTCTCTGCTTCGAAGCTTTGTCTGGGCTTAAGATCAACTTTCCTAAGAGCGAAGTCATCGTCACTGGGGTTTCGGAGGACGAAGCCCGCAGGGTTGCGCAGTTGCTCAATTGCTCTCTTGGCTCCTTTCCTTTCAAGTATCTGGGCCTCCCTATCTCCTCTTCCAAGCTAGTGGCGAAATATTTTGCTCTGTTAGTATCCAAGCTAGTGGGTAATCGAGTTATGCTTTGGAGAGGCAGGTACAACACTCAAGCGGGCAAGGTTGCCCTAATTAATGCTTGTCTTTCCTCCCTCCCTATGTTCTTAATGGGTTTCTACCTCCTCTCTGGTGGGACGCATGCGGGTTTTGACAAGCACATTGGTGCCTTCTTTTGGAATTCGGCCGAAAACAAACATAAATACAGGATGGTGAAATGGAAGTTCATTTGTCGCCCCAAAAACCTTGGTGGGCTGGGAATCATTAACACCGCTATTATGAACAAGTGTCTCATCATCAAGTGGTGGTGGAAGATTATGACCGTCCCAGAGACCCCACTTTGGCTATCTATTCTTAAAGCTAAATACTTCCCGACCTCTAGCCCCATGTTTTCTCCTGCGATGGCTGGCTTCCAGTTTTGGTGAGATCTGGTCAAACTTCGTCTGATTTTTAAATCCTTGGTGAAATTTGTGGTCCATAATGGCAAATCTACTCGTTTCTGGTTGGACTAGTGGTGTGGGGATTCCTTGTTAGCTGTGGCTTTTCCAGTGCTCTTTTCTTATTGTTCGGACCCAGAGATCTCCATCTCTGAGCTCTCTAGGAATAACTGGGACTTGAACTTCCGCATAACTCTCTCTCCTGCAGAGTTGGGAGACTGCCATCGCCTCGTTGCTGTCTTCCCCATGCTCTCGGAGGGCGAGGACTCGGTTGTTTGGCCCCATTCTGCTTCTAGCAGATTCAGTGTCAAGTCGTTGTACTCTAAGTTGATCTCAGGGTCCCCCACCTCTAAGTTTAAGAACATTTGGCCCGCTCGTGTTCCTCCTAAGATAAAGATCTTCTTATGGCAAGCCTTCCATGGCAGATTGCCTGCGGCTGACCAGATGTGAAAAAGGAATGGGCCTGGCTCTGACAGATGTGCTTTGTGTGGTGCCCTTGAGGATACACAACATATTTTCTTTCATTGCCCCTTGGCTAAATTCGTTTGGTGCTACATCCGTTCCTGGCTCCAAGTTGCGTGGAACCCTTCCTCCTTTGCTGATCTTAGGGCCTTTGCCACGGGCCTGTCGGGTCCTCTAAACGGGTTTTCTAGGTAGGGTTTGCGGCGATCTGTTGGTCGCTGTGGACCACGAGGAACAAATGTATTATCGAACATGTCTTCCCGGCTAAACCTGTTGACTGCTTATTTAAAACTGGCATATTTTTTGCAGCAGTGGAGATCATTGACTAAGGACGCCGACCACGAGACCTTCGACTTGATGTCTTCCAAGATTCGGGCTACAGCTTCCTCTTTGGCGCACAGAATACCAGAAGATTAGCGGGCTGGTTTCCTTGGTGTGTCATGAGTTCTATGGCCTGCGCGCCTTATTGGGCTTGGATGCCTTGTATCAAAACTCCTTTCGTTTGTCTATTTCGTGTTGGATGCTACTCTTTCGATTGGTTGTGGATGCTGCCTGGTGGCTTTATTTATAAAGTCGGGCTAATGCCTTTTATTTAAAATGATACTAGTGTATGATACTATATCCGTAATGCATAGTACCATATGTTGGTATCATAGAGGATTTTATTTATTGACACAAAGTAGCACATTATTTAATATGATATGTATCATGATATGATACTCAAACCTCTTTTTTTTTATTTAATTCTGTGCCAGCTCATCAAATTGCCTAGTTGGCATGTATGATAGTACTACATATGGTACTCCATTATACAGCCGTGTCCCGATCATCTCCCGTTCTCCTCGTACAATACATCAAATATATCTCCTATTCATAATAGTGTCGGAATGATACATGGATCATCCAAATCACTCTTTGGGGTGTTTTTTCTATTAAAAAATTAATACGGTTGCACCTTCCCAAACCTGAGAAAGAAGAGCCCCCATTAAAATCTTCTGGTGAGGACCAAAGAGAAAGGAGGCCTGGAAGGCTGCGCTGATAAATATACTCTTAGTCTTTGCTAGACATACTAGTACTCTCTTCCTTTCATAATGTAGTGCATAATTTTTTTTGAAAATCAAACCTCACAAACTTTGATCAAATTTGGAAGAAAAAAATTACATCTAGAATGTCAAACATATCTCATTAGATTCTCATAAGATGTAATTTAACATTTTATATTTTTATTATTGTGGATATAAATAGTTTTCTTTATAAACTTCATCAAAGTTTGGCTTTTAAAAAAAGTTGTACGCACTACATTATAGAACGGAGGGAATACTACACATACAAAGTACAATATGTTTTTGTCCCTCAAGTTTACAAAAATCTAGTGTCCGAGATTTTTTGTGCTACATTTTGTTCTTGATGTCTCAAAACCACATAACTCTCTCTCTCTCTCTCACGAACACACACACGCACACGCACACGCACACGCAATAATAAGCGCACATCAATACAGTACAATACCTTAGGTGTGGACGTTCCTTTTAGCGTCCATGAAATGATCGTACCAATCTTGATTGCACTTTCACCGTTGCGAACGCACAGATGGAAGAGAGGAGAGATTTCTGTTTGCATATAGATGGTGTCAACTTGCTTCTTTTTGTCCACCGACCTTCCATTATCAGTGCCCGTAATCGTTGGATAAGAGAAAGTAACTGTTTGGACTGGTGTAATGCGATAAAGTTGGGAGTTGGGTTGAAGATGGAGTTTAAAAGAAAAAATGTATTAATGGTGACCGTTGGCGGGCGGTGGTTGAAATTGAATTGTTAGTGGATACAAAAAGAATAATATACCAGTTTTGTTGCACGGCAGTTGTCTGAAATTCAAATTTGGCCAGTCGATTCAGTGGAGAGGAAGTAGCAACCGCGGAGGAGCACCGAGGCTACCGGCGGAGGCAGCAGGAGCCGCGGCGGAGTAGCCTCCTCGTCTATCTTAGGGGTGCAGCGGATGCAGGGGGAGCATCAACCTCCTTGTCTATCTTAGGGGTGGCGTGGGGTGCAGGTTCGCCGGCGTCGGAATTGGAGGTCTGCCGGGGTTAGAAGGAAGATCTTGGGTGGCGGCAAGCTTGATGGTGGGGGGAGGTTTAGGGGAGGGTGGGATGGCGAGGCGGTCACGAGAGCGCCGCCGGCAGAAAAAGGTGGTTAGGCCGTCGGTGGCTCGGCGTTTCGAGGTTGAAGACGACGGCTGGAGGTTGAATACGCTCATTTGGATGTTCATTCTTCATCGGACGGCTCAAACCAGTCGATTGACCCAAATTGCATTTTCAATCGACTGGTTTCTAGCCAGTCCCATAATATACTGTCACTATTTATATCTATATATACCAATATTTTAAATAACGCGCTACAAAATATAGCGAGACCCTTCTCTAAATGCTACACAAGTTATAGCGTGCTATATTTCAAAATAGCGTTTGCAAAAGAAATCAAATATATCTAGAAATAAAGTATTTAAGCAACTAAATTTTTCATAGGAGCAAGCAATATATGAATAAGGGCCAAATCCAGCACATAAAAAGGAGTGAGAAAGGGATGAGAAGTGAGAACTAGGGTTAGCCGGTTAGGTCTCATGGGAGAATCTGATAAAAGGAGTGATAAAGCTAGTGGTCGTGGGTTGGTTTTGGCCTGCTGGGCCTGCTGGGCTGTGCTTATTTCAGTTTTGCATGGTCTGCACGTTGTAACGTTATAACGTTACAACGTTATAGCGTGTGTAGCGCGCTAATTACGCGATTAGCGTCGTAGCGTCCGATTTTTCCAAAACGTATTGTCTCTCTTCCAAATATGCTATAACCGCGTTATAACGGCGAAATAACGTGCTATTTAAAATATTGATATATACCAATAGAAAAAGAAGAAGAAGTGGAGATCAAACAAATCTCACTCATTCAACCGCTTCTATCCAATGGTATAATTTGTTCCTGTGTTTACCGTAAAATTGTTAAACACTATAAACACGTTTTGCACCATCCACTAAGTACTATCATGCCTAAATCACTGCCATCATTAACCAAGTAATTATATCCTACCATTAAGTTGATAACATTCATATCTAGGCAGGAGTGTATGGGTAGCTGCAGGTTGTCCACTAAAAATTTGCGTGTGCAATAACCTTTTTATACTCCCTCCAATCCATTAATTTAGTAGAGTACTACAACTTTGTAGTACTAAATTAGCCACAATTAACATGGATTAGAAGGAGTAGATATGCTATAGGAAATGAACAGTCACCTAGTACAAAGAAAAACTGTGTGCAACGACTTTCATCCATGACGAGTAACTGTAAGGACAAAATAGACAGGTGTAGATATGATTCATCATCAGTTGTTCGTCCTCCCCGCTGGAGGAGACGAGCACTTGCCGTCTACTTTGCGGACGACGCCGTCGTTGCCGGCCAGCATGAGGTACTTGTCCTTCCTGGTGAGCATAGTGCAGCTGTATCCGAGCGCATCTCCAATCTTCTTCTGCACGAGATTGGCCATGTCGGCGCTCGGCACCTTCCCCTCCCTGACCACCGCCGTGCGCACCCGCTCCAGGAACTGCACCGTGTAGCACATCCTCGGGTTGACCATGTAGAAGAACGGGTCGAGGCACTTGAGCCCCCCCGCCGTGGTGGGGTAGAACATGGCCGTCTCGACGGCGACACCCACGGGGACCACGTCGTCGCTGAGCTCCGCGAAAAGTGGACTGAACCGGAGCAGGTACGGCTCGCGGCAGGTGGTGCCCTCGGGGCAGACGACGACGAGGTCCCCCATCTCCAGGAGTCGGGCCATGGCACGTCCGTCGGCGTCGCGGTCTCGTGTCAGCCGCACGGTGCGGCCGATTGGTGAGATGAGCTCCGAGAGCCGGCTGAGGCTATACGACACGGCGCGCACCGGTCGGTCCAGCGCCACTGACACGTACACCGGGTCGAGGAGGGTGCGGTGGTTGCACACAAACAGCTGCCCGCGCCGGCAACCTCGCTCGACGCCAGCGGTCTGCAGCGGTGGCCCATCGCCGGCCTTGAGCCGCCATGACATGCCGGTGGCCGCCAGGATCGGCGTGGAATATCGATATGGCACGGTGAGCGCGACGGTGAGGCGGGTGGAGGCAAGTGCAACGCCGAAGGGCAGCCACATGAACATGGCGAGCGTGCTGCCAGCGGTTGGCCGGAACGCGAGACGGCCGTCATGGAACACCACGGCCTTGGGGTACTTGCTCCTCGGCAGCGCCTGCCACGTGGCCCTGTCGTCTCTTGTCGCGAGGTAGATATCCTGGACGTCGTACCCAGAGAGCAGAGTAAATGTGTCACGACTTACAAGTTTGTCATGTAGCATGTGTTGTATTGCGTGATGTCTTTGAGAAAGTGTCATATTTCAAAAGGTAAGCTCGTGACAAATGGTACAAACACCGACTCGTTCATCAAAATTATGAAAGGTGAGAGATTGACCAAACTATACTCCTACTATTCCCTCTGTCTCATAATATAAGATTTTTTTTGACACTGATGTAGTTTCAAAAGATGCCTTATATTATGGAATCGAGGAAGGTACTTTATTGTTTAGTAAGACACGAACCGATCATGAGCAAAAGGTAGAAAAGCATGTGTAGGTAGGTGAAGGATTGCATGATAAGCACGGCACCAACTTATTCGACAGATGAAATGTGCATGCATACACGTACTACTCCGTACTTCGCATATTTCCATTTAGATTTCTTTTTGGGTGTAATTAACAGACACACAAACACATGTATGTATAAAGAGTATGGTGTTGTTATTCTTTATATAGTGATTAGTTATTTTTTCCTGGGGAGTGATTGCCAAGAGAAAACACGCAGCTTGCTAGATGGAGATTTATGTTACACTACGTACCTTGCAAGAACGTGGAATAGGATGCAAGAGAAACTCTAACGACCCGCAGAATCCCAGAGCATCATCACCCTCCGCCATGATCTTCTTCTCCTCTTCCAACACCACCTCGCCTTCTTCCTCCATTAGTCCAGTGTAGAACCCCCACAGCACCTTCATCTCCTTTCCGACTACAGCCTCGGCGCCGAGGTAATCCCTCAGGAGCCCCTCCACCATCACTCTCGGCAACCGCCTCGTCACGCACACTCTCCGCCCGCCAGCGGCGCCGCTCATCCTCATGGCCTCGAACCCTTCAGCCGCCACGTCCTCCATGAACCACTTGGGTAGCACGGCGCGGCCGGCACGGAACCGGCTCGCGCGCAGCCCGCAGAAGGCCACCATGGCCATCACCCTCACTGCCACATCGCTGGCGCGGCCCATGCTTAAGATGATTGGGTAGAGGAGGAGGAGTACGAGGCCTCGTACGTATCCCCCAGCCTCGAGAGCCACGAGCATAAAGTAGGGGAAGAGGGATGACGACGACGGGACGAGGAGCGCGGCGTCCACGTCGAGGACGAGGGTTCGCCCGGCGGCGATCTTCTCTGCCATGGGAGGATGTGAGGATCTGCCGAGGTGGTGCAGCGAGGAAGGATGCGGTGACGATTCAGTCATGGCGGTGGCAGTGACCCGGCTGGAGATCGGAGGCCTAGTCCCGTGGAGGAGGAAGGAGAGCAGGGCGGAGAAGAGCTTCGGCTTCTTGGCCATGGTGGATAGATGCGCTAGCTTGTTATGGTGAGCAAGCTGCACCTAGCTTATATATAGGACGGGGGCAGTAACTATGCAGCTGGGAGCTACCTTAAGCTTGCCGGTTTTAGCAGATCTATGCAGCCACGGGCAGTAACTATCGGCGGTACGGGCAGCTTTTTCTAGTGCCTTCTCTTGCAACAAACTCACGCTAGCTACAGTAGCATAGCTAGAGAGAGTTGTATGCATGTCCTTTCGTGGGGTCTTTTTTGACTAGTGGACCTGTTACGCCAAATAACGTAGAGACCCGTTGAATCCATGTTCACATTAAAAAAATCTATAATTTAATTGGTATAGTTGTGAGCAAGCACGTATGGTAACAAAATTTAACGCCCTTTAATAAAAAAAGAATAGTGGCTTGGTTTCTGCAATGAGATGTACGCACAAATTTAAATGGGAGTACCTAGAACTCATCTAGATGAGATATAATTTGGTCTCATTCACTTTGAAAACAAGAATAGATACAACCCACGTCAGTACACACGCATCTTATAGCATCACATCCAATGGCCATAAAAGGTGAATGAGACCAAATTATATCTCATCTAAATGAGTTTTAGCAAAACTGAATTTAAATTCGGCAGCACAAAGTCCCATTGAAAACTATGTTGCGCTGAAAATATTTGTATTTTTCAGTAATCTTTTGTTGAGCAAGCACGCACGTTAAGAATTTAGATCCCCATACATAAAAAAAGAATACTTATCAGTTAAGGAGGCCTTAATTAAGGTACATTCGCAAAAAGAGAGGCTTTAAGGTAGTGCTTGTATCAATTTGTTTGTGTGTGTTTGAAAAAAGAGAGACTATTTTTGTGTCACTTAGACACATGTCCTTTTTTTAGGCATGACCGGTTTTAGTTGATATAAAACTGTTCTTTGTTTCAAAGAGCAACAACATGAGATTACGCCCAATCTTGCTTCATGTGCATGTTGCTGCCCTCCTTTCCCCTCTAATTTGGCTTGCTTTATCTTGTATGAAGTCGTATACTTTCAACTTTGTTCAACTTTGCAAAGTTATATCAAGTTCGCTTTCAAGTGTACTTGGCTACACCTGCAACATGATGCATATCTCTTCCGGTTTGAATATGTGAAGTTGTAAATCTGCTGATGTTTACTTCTTGTTTGTTGCAGACCCTTGATGTCACATTTGGCGGAAATGACTCCATTACCGTGGCAATAGTAGTATCACCCTTGTGGCGCATACTGTTGTATAGAGATGGATATTGTTCCCGGAGGGTGGTATTTCCTAGCCACTTGTCCTCCTAGAATCTAATTTCCGAGTCGTCCTTAATTGAGAAGGATCCATAGCCAAAGAAATATTTCTTCGTAGCCATTAGACCCGCCAAAAATGGGGACCCCCGGGCTTCCAGTATACTTGGGATACCGCCTTGGAACCTACATATTTCCTCCTTCGGAGGGTTTGCCATACACCATCTTCTGTCAGTAATTTAAACAACCATTTACCGAGGAGGGCCCTATTCTTAACCTCAAGATCATGAATGCCCAACCTGCCTTGGTCTTTGGGACGGCAAACCACATTCCATTTAGCTAGTCAATATTTCCTTCTCTCGCTATCTCCTTGCCAAAAGAATATTTATTGGAAATAATTCAATCTATGTAAGACTCCTTTCGGTAACTGGAAGAAGGAAATCATATATAGTACCATATTACTTAGTACTAAATTTATGAGGACCAATATTCCACCCAGAGATAGCAGTTTACCTTTCTAACTGTTAAGTCTTTTTTGCAGTCTCTCATCGACGTGTTTCCATTCAGCATTTGTGAGTCACCGATAATGTATCGGTATTCTCAAATATGTGATCGGAAACTGGCCCAACCCACATTCGAATAATTCAGCGTACATGTGGGCCTCGTTTTGAGCGTTGCCAAAGCAAAACAATTCACTTTTATGAAAATTGATCTTGAGACCCGAGAGTTGCTCGAATGTTGTTAAAATCAGTTTCATATTTCTCGCTTTCTCGAGGTCATGATCCATGAAGAGAATCATATCGTCGGCATATTGAAGTTTAGAGAGACCACCATCAACTGGATGATTTACTACCCCATCAATTTGACCATCAACCTTGGCGCTCTCAATCATGACCGCTAGCATATCCGCCACTATATTAAATAGCATGGGCGAACGTAGTATTTTGAAAAATTTCCTACGATCACGCAAGACCTATCTAGGAGAAGCATAGCAATGAGCGGGGAGAGTGTGTCCACGTACACTCATAGACCGAAAGCGGAAGCGTTTAGTAATGCGGTTGATGTAATCGAACGTCTTAGCGATCCAACCGATCCAAACACCGAACGTACGGCACCTCCGTGTTCAGCACACATTCAGCTTGATGACATCCCTCGAGCTCTTGATCCAGTTGAGGACGAGGGAGAGTTCCGTCAGCACGACGGTGTGGCGATGATGATGATGATGTTACCGGCGCAGGGCTTCGCCTAAGCAGTACGACGATATGACCGAGGTGTGTAACTGTAGGGGGGGGGGCACCGCACACGGCAAAGAGAAGACTTGGTGTGTCTTTGGGGTGCCCCCTCCCACGTATATAAGGGGGAGGGGGAGGAGGAGGCAGGCCCTAGAGGGGCGCGCCAAGGAGGGAGTCCTACTTGGACTCCTAGTCCAATTAGGATTCGGTGTAACGCCCCGGATTCGATGCGCCAGGTGTCTTCCAGTTATTCACCGTCTTTGCCATATAATTTGCTTGCGTGTTGCATTTTGCCATGTCATCATCTGCATTTCATCTGCATGTTTTTCAAAATTTGCATCCGTTCGGGTTTCCCCGGTTCTCTCCATTGTCCGTTCCGAGCCCGACCACACTCGCGCGCGCCCGTGGCACCTCCGAAATATATTTTATAAGTGGCACAAAAATGTTCTCGGAATGGGGTGATAGTTGGCATGCGGTCTTATTATAGTGTAGGTAGAGCGCCTGTCAAGTTTCGTCGCATTCGGAGCTCGTTTGATAGCCCAACCGTTAAATATATAGCGGCACCGTTGCCGGTATTTTCGCCGGACGTTTCGGTCTCCGGAACAGTCGCCGGGCCTCACTTATCTTCTCTCCTCTCAGCCCGAGGCCTCTCATCACAGCCCGTCTAGCCCTCCTACACTTCCCCTCCGCTCCGGACCGTCCGATGGTAATCGAACGGCTCCAAAACGGCCTCAAACCCCCCTCTAACCCTAACCCCCACCTATTTAATCCCCTCCTCCTTCCATTTTTGGACAACCTACCCCTTCCCTAACACTAGCCGCAGCAATCCCCTCTCCTCCTCGGGATCTCCGCCGCCTCCCACCTCCATTTCCGCGCCGCCGCAGCCAGCGCAACCCTGCCACTTGGCGCGCCGCCATTCGCTGCGCCGCCATCCTTGTAACGCCCCGGATCCGATGCGCCAGGTGTCTGCCAGTTATTCACCGTTGTTGCCATGTCATGTGCTTGCGTGTTGCATTTTATCATGTCATCATGTGCATTTCATTTTGCATACGTGTTAGTCTCATGCATCCGAGCCTTTTCCCCGTTGTCCGTTTTGCAATCCGGCGCTCCTATGTCCTCCGGCGTCCCCCTTTTGTCTCTCATTGTAAGCGGGTGTTAAACGTTCTCGCAATGGACTGAGGTTCGCCAAGCGGCCTAGGTATAGCACCGGTAGACCGCCTGTCAAGTTTCGTGCCATTTGGAGTTCGTTTGGTACTCCAACGGTTAACCGGGTAACCGTAAAGCCCCTCTCTCTTTGCAGCCCAACACCCCTTCCAAAGTGGCCCAAAACCCATCTAACTCCCCTCCATGCTCTCGGTCGTTCGATCACGATCGTGTGGGCGAAAACCGCTCCTCATTTGGACTCTCCTAGCTCCCTCTATCTATAAATATGCCCTCCCCGTCCAAATTCGCGGATGATTTTCCCCCGAAACCCTAATCTTCTCCCTCTCCGCGCCGGACACGTCCGCCCCGGTCGGACATGTCCGCCGGCCACCTGCCTCCGGCCTATCCGCAGCCGCCACCTCATCCTCGCCACCGACCGAGCCAACCGCCGCGCGCCACATCGTCTCACCCGCGGCCTCTCTCTCCTCCACCGCCCGCGGCCCGCCGGGGCCCGAGGCCGGCCCGCCCCGGGCCAGATCCGGGCCGCGCCGGGCCCGCATCCGCCATCGCCCGCGCAACCATGCCGCTCGTCACCGGCGAACTCTGCTACGCCGGCGTCGCGCCGCCGCCCCTCGGCCCCTGCTCG